GGGGGGGAAAGGGGAGCCAGGGCTCCTGGATCTTCTTCCCAGCACCAGGCTGGGAATGTGCCTTGGGAGTGGGGACTCCTGGGTCCTATTTCTGGTTTGGTGACCAGCTCCCCAGCGTGACGTCGCGCTGTCGGGAGGACAGCAATTCCTGAGGCGTGAGCCATCCTCGATAAGTAGCTGGTGTATCTGGAAGGTCCTTGGAGGTCGTAGGAACAGCTCAGCCCGTGCCGGGACGGTCGGTGCCCCTTGGTGAGTCAGCCCCGACCACGCGGGCATGGCACCGCGCTGCTGGAAACACCAAGAAATGCGTTTGCTCGTGCCGGAGCATGTGCAAGAGCAGGGTGGCCACCAAAGACCCCCAAAACCATGGCTCGGTGTCCCCAACTCTGCAAAGCGTCCCATAAGGCAGAGCTTGTCCGTGAGAAGCCAAACTGCTCCTGACCCTTCAGACCCAAAGCTGGTGGGGACCGGGGGAGAGACCGAGCTCACCAGGGCAATCAAAACGTCTGGGAACCGTCCTGCCATGGGTTTGGATGGTACGTGGCTGCTCCGAGCACATGCACACGCCCTGGATGCCTTGTAAAAATAAGGGCCTGGATGTGGTTGTGACATCTGCCAGGTACAGGAGAGAATGAAAGCCCATGATTCAGAGGTGAGCTGTTTGCCTGCAGGGTCGGGGAGGGATTCCCACCCTCCTGGGATGTTGCATCAACGACATCGCAGCATCTCGGCCGAGAATGGGTTTAGCTTCCTCCCAACCGAGATTAGGAAGAAGCCAGCAGAGAGCTGGGATGACACACGGCGTTTTTTTGTTTTTTTTTTTTTTTCCGGGGCAGGAATCCCAAAGCTCCTCTGAGCAGGTGGCTCCTGCCTGTAATAAATATATCACCTCCTGCTTTACATCCTTAAATACGCAGCTCCCAATAATGCCCGTATCTAATCTGGGCATCTAATCGCTGCGCCATCGCGCTGGTAGACATACAGGGGTACAATTTGCTGGGATAATTAATTATGGATGTGACTTAACAAGCACAGCTACCAGCTGAGAAGAGCCTTGTCTGTCCCAGGGCATCTAGAGAGGGCTGAGAGCTGGATATGGCCCTGCTCGGAGCTGGTGCTTGTGCTCCCAGAGACCCACACCAACCCCTTTTCATCCTTGAGAACAAGTGCTTTTGGTTCAAATAAATGATGTCCCCCACCTTGCTGGGCAGCTCCTGTGCAACACCGGCCCTGGCTGGCTGGTGTCGTCAGCGGTGGGTGCGTTGGGGGGGGTTGGAGCAGGGTGGGATGTGGGGATGCTCCCTGGGACGGAGGAGCCGGGCTTTCGGTGGGTAGTGGGATGGCGGCGGGTTTGCAGACCCCGGGGACCAGGCTGGAGTTGCACCGTGCCTGATAAACCATCGCTGCTGGGAGCCCACGGCTCCTTCCAGACAGCGGGGTCTTCTGGGGTGCTCCCCAAACACTCCCCAGCCCCCGAGGAGGAGCCAGAGCCCGCCCGCAGGTCCCTGCTCGCACCGACCCGTCTGGGTGTTGCAATCACGGGGAGCCATTTCCCAGGTGAGCCTCAGCCTGGGAACGCCCTGGGAACGTCAGGAAGGGGTGGGAGCCTCTTTAAAAGCCCGACTGGGCCCAGTGGTATGGGTGCAAGGTGAGAAGACAGCGGGGGTAATCAGTTCCCACTGCCTGTGCTGCCAAATCGGCGACCGACGGATACAGCGGGACACCCGGAGGGAGCCAGGTGAGGCTCCGAGGAAATTCGGCATCGGGACCCTTGACGGGAATATTCAACCGGGAGCAGCTCTGGGACGTGCCGCTGCGGGTTGGGTGGTGGAAATCCCCTGAGCCCTTCGGCAGCACCGCGAAAGTGGGGCTGGGATGGAGGGGACCTGCTGGATGTGGGGGGAGCACTGGGGTGAGCTGGGCTGAGGGTGGGGTGGTCCGGCACGGGGCTCGGCAGCATCCGTCAACGTCGTTGCCAATGGGGAGCCCGGCACATGGGGCTGCCAGTGGGGTCTGGCCCCAGGAAAAGGGACATTTCCCCCCTGCTTTACCCGTGGGGATGGCGGGATCGTGGGGAGGGAGCGCTGGTGCTGTGCCGGGCCGCGGGTCCTGGCTCCGGGCACCGGTGCTGGTGAGGAAGAAGAGGGAGAGGTGGAAGAAGAGGGAGGACTGCGGCGGCGGGAGCAGAGCAGCCAGCAAGCCCCATCCTGCCCATCCCGCCTACCCGGCACCCAGCTCTGCTGCGGCCGTGCCGGCATCCCCGCGTCCCACTGGGGTGACAACGTCCCTGCGCCCCGGGCCGGCCCCGGGGCCATGCGGTGGGGTCGGGCGAGCTGGGCTGGTGCCGTGAGTCAGCG